CAGAGAAAAAAGCTGCTCCTTCCTTTCAGTTCATTGGACCTTGTGCAAAGTTTTCATGCTTTCATTAAATGATATGAAACTGCTGAGCCTGTTAAATGAAGCATTTTAAGTGCGAAGTGATAACTTCACGGAGAGAAGTTTATATCTACACTGACAGAATACACAGAGAATTCCTTTGACAACCCTCCGTAGCTCAGCCCTTTTTAGAAGATAAATGCAGCGGGCTTACCTGTAATACTAACAGATGTGTTCAAAGCTGGGCATTTTTCACAGGAGTTCCTCTGCAAAGTAACCACAAGTTTTTAATATTCTTCAAAGCTTGTGACTTTTTTTCTTTCCGAACATTTTTTTGAGTATATATTAGTGAGAGCAGGACTGATGTCACAGTGCCACCCAATGGTAGATCGATAAACTGGATCATCAGAGGGAAATAATAATAGATTGGCTGGATAAGTCACATTCTGGACATTGTCCACCTGATCGAATTTTTAAAAAAAAGCTGACCAATGTGAAAACGTTTCCAATGCATTTGGTTTCGTGTTTGTTGACTTTGTTCTTGAGAAGAGGCATTTTAAGTGTATCTAAAGACAAAAACAAACATTTAACATATTTCAGTTTACCAATCCTGTGGTGGCTGAATAAGTTTTCTATTTTTAGGCTTTTTTGTCCTTTATTTTTTTCTGCTGATCTGGCTAGTAACACACTTCCTGTCTCAGGGCCCATTCACACGACACCCAGATCATCTCCAGATCAGATTGTTTGTGAACCAAAAATGCATCCTAATGTATCCCTATGCTCAAGGGTGTAACTAGAAATCAAAATTTTGTATGGTGCCCTGTGATCTCTACTTATGCCCTTGCAGAGCCCACCTGAGATCCCACACAGCCCACCTGAGAGTGACCCTGCAGAGCCCGCCATAGACTCTCTATGGTGGACTCTGCAGGGTCTCAGCTGGGCTGGTCAAACCCTCTTACCTGTCAGCCCTGATCCACTGTACGCCTCCTCCACGGTCGCTGGCAGGCCCCGCCTCGTCTTCTGTTGCTGGACCACGCCCCCTCTTCAGTCACCTGGCCCCGCCTCCTCTTCCGTTGCCGGGCCCCTCCTCCACTGCTGACGCCGGGCCCAGCCTCCTCCTCCACAGCTAGCTGTCACAGACTCAGCAGCGGCTGTGAAGAGGAACGCGCCGCTGCACACATCACTGACAAGTTGTCGTTGATCTAACAGCGACATGTTCCTCCTCCCACCTGCCAGTGACAACCAGCAGCCTGAGATGCCATAGCGACCCAGGCGGCCCACACAGAATCAGGGGATGTCCTGGCCGGGCCCCCCTGTGCCCCATAGTGGCCACCTGGGTTGCTATGGCGATTGTTATGCCATTGCCTATGCTAGTTCTGGCCTCTGTTCACACCAGTGCAGTCAGTTCCAGACCAGAAAAATACTGCATGTCTCATTTTGTCTGGTCTGGAATGCATGGGAACTGCGTGCAGGTTCACATCATTTTCCCGCTAGATCTGGACCAGAAAATGGTGTGAACCTGCTCTAAGGGTTGCTCCACTCTATTAAGGAACAACGAAGCCACTCTTGTACAGAAGCATTGTCACCCTGTGGGGAGGGAAGCGTTAGATGAACTAGCAGATTTGGATGGACTTGACTATCAAATGAAATCTGAACCTCAGCTAACAATTTCTAAGCAGATACAACAAAAGTAATTTTTTCTCTTTTTGGGATAAAGGTTTTACATAAATCAATAAAAGCTGACCATTGTAGCCACCACCGTCAGTGTTAAATGGTTTGCCCTGTGGATGCACCGATGCAGGTTTTTCTGTATCGAGTACGAGTATCAATATTTTTCTTTCGGTACTTGCTGATACTGAGTACAGATACTGGTACTTCCGCTAGCATGGAGCCAGCCTCCTGGTCAATCAGGAAGCCAGGCAGCATGTCATTACCCGCCGCCTGGCTTCTTGATTGCTTGGGATTGCCAGCTACTTGCTGTTTGGCCAGCTCAATGCAGACTTCCCGGCCAATCAGGCACTGCTGGTCAGAGGAAATCTCCCTCTGACCGGAAGTTTCCGGTATCAGCGGTAAGTATCGGAGCATTTGGGCGAGTCCGAGTACCAAATACTCGGTATCGGCATCGATAACAATACTAATATCAACATCGGTGCATGCCTAGTTTGCCCTCTATCGGACACTTCTGATGGACAGCTTGGCCTGTTGAAGGAAGCTGAAATATAACAGACTTACTGGACGGATCACCAGGTGAAAATAAAGGTATAAAAGCCTAAACATATAAATAAATAAATAAAGGCAGCCTTCATATTTTAGGACTAGTAAGCTGCAATATATAATATTTTTGTTTTTGAGTTTAGATATGCTTTAAAGGGGGCTATGATCACCTTGTATAAATACATAAATGTAAGAGTAAGAGCTCTAAAAATGTGGACTAGAGGTAGTTTTAGCCAACTCAGTAGACTAATAGGGAAGCACCAATACCGGATTTTCGGTTACGAGTACCAATGATTATATTTCAGTACTTGCTGATACTGAGTACCGATACCAGTACTTCCGCTCGCAAGGAACCCTCTTCCTGGGCAATCAGGAAGCCAGCAGCATGTCACTACCTGCCGCCCAGCTTCCTAATTGCCTTGGAAGCCAGCTCCATGCTGTTTGGCTGGCTCAATGCTGATTGGCTGGGAAGCCAGTTTCCCGGCCAATTAGCATGGAGCCAGCTTACCGGCCAATCAGGAATCTGGGAGGTGTGTCATTACCCGCCGCCCAGCTTCCTGATTGGCCAGGAAGCCGGTTCCATGTTCCCTCGTGGCACTGCCTGTCAGAGGAAATCTCCCTCTGACCGGAAGACTGAGGACTCAAATTTGAAGATTGAGTTTCTCTGATAAGCTTCATTAACATACAATGGACAAGCCACCCCTCACCCCTCACAGCCCTCCTAACATTTCAAAGAAAGAGAAGCAAGAAGAAATGTTAACCCTTAAACACCAAGTAAAAGCATTTTAAAGAAGCCATTTTTATTTTATTTTTTAGCTAATGTGAATAGAAACATGTAACAAATATAAAATAGGTGTTATCCTAATTTGGCTGCAAAAGTGGAAATACAATTTACGGGATCAGGAAGGCTCTTGACTGGATCATGCGTTATAAGGCCCCATTCACACTGAGCGATTTATCGCGTGGTAATCCGCGCGATATCGCGGCTATTTACCGCGCGATATCGCTCTCCAATGCATGGCAATGGGGCTCTGTTTGTCGCTGTCACGGGTCGTGCGTCGCTACAACAGGACCCTTTTTGGAGCGGATTTTCGGCGCGATTCAACTTTGCTCAATGCAACTATTTGCGCGATATCACGCAAAATGGAAATCGCGCGACAAACGCGCGATTTGCGATACACTCAGTGTGAATGGGGCCTAAGGGTGTTCATGAGAGCTTTTTGCAAGGTTTTTTTCACTTTCCTCTGGATCATCTGTAAGTTTAGGGTTCTGTGGATGCAGTTTTTTTATCATTCATTTATTGATTTTTTTTATTGATTGAACTTTTTTTTCTTGCTTTTGTTTTTCTTCTAACCTAACTATGTAACTGACTCAGACAAAAGCCAGCAGGCTACTACTACTGGATAGATTGGACACATTTCAGATGCCTTCCATGGGCTTTTTAATGTGTGCATTCATCTCTTTTTTTAAATTCTCATTTAAACTACAACAAAAATACAATGATGATCGAATAGGATTTTTAGCAGCTTAATTTTCTTTTTGGCTTAATTTTTCTGTAATAAAATTCATATATAACCCATATACATGTTAGGCTGTTAAAGTAGTATTAAACTCTCAAATTTTTTTAAATAATGAACTAAGTATTTCTTTAAATTTTTGCCCAAATACTTACATTAACCATGTTTCCGAGCAACTGGTTCCAACAATCTCAGCTCGGCTTCCCTGAACTCCTGTCCAGCCCAATATCCCAAAGGACAGGGCAGTCTCTGGCAACTATTCATCTATTAGCTTGGAGAAGGGGGGAAGGAGCAGTGGAGAGAAGGGAGTAGAGGACTGGCTTGCCTTGCTGTGGGTAATGGCTTGCCTTGCTGTATCTGTGTGTTTGTGGAGACACACATAGCTTAGCACACACAAGGGTGGTCCCATAGCACCCTGCAAGGGAAAAAGAGCCACCCTAAAACAGGGAATGAGGGCCAGTGCTCAGGGGACTAGCTGATTCTGCAGGAAGATAAAATCAAGGAGAAGCATTAATTGTAGCATTAATTCAGCATTTGAAATAGCTTTAAAAAGATTTTTCTTTAATATCACTTTAAAAATAGCAATGTATGTCAGGCTTTGCTCACTGTCCAGGGAGAGCAGTAAACAAACCTTGTAAATCCCTTGCTCTAGTATCCATGATGCCTACTATCAAGTGTTCAAGTTGTTGCCTCGATGGAAGTGTAGACGAATGAGGCTTCATCTATAAAAAAATATAAGAACTGCCTATATTGCATTGTAGCATGTCATATTAGCACCTCTTTCCATTGCAGGGTTAAATCTGGCTTGTTGCTGTGGGTCCTTTTTTATGTATTTCTCTGACTGAAGAACTGTGCTTTTTGCCTGTAGGAAGAAACCCATTCTGGTCTAGTATGTAAGAATTAAAGAGAAAATTCCCATAGAATGTCATGTCTATGCAAGCATTCAGTAGACAGCTGTAGACAGAATCCCCTGGGCACAAGGTTGACATTTCTCACTGAAACAATGAAACAATGTATAGCATAAAATGGACTGTGCAATGATAACTGAACAAGGCAGGCAATAATGACCATTTTTACCAACCATACAATTTCATTTATGATTTCACTATTTTTTTTAAACTATTGGATTAAATTTTAAACTACCTGATCGATATTGGCAACAACGGCCCCGGTTATAATTCATGCATATTCATATTGATTGACATTCTGTTTGCCAACTTCTAATGTAACACTTCCTTTCTCTTTCATTCACAGAGTGTTTGGGCATATCAGTTACCGTTCAGACTGGGAACTGGTAAAAGTTGATTTTAGACCCTCGTTCTTTAGAGAATGTACAGAAGACGACTATGAATCTTGGAACCTCTCCAATACCCAGGTATTATGACCACTTTCCAGTTTTGGAAATATAATATACCTCGGCTTATATTCGGGACGGCTTATACTCGAGTATATACGGTAGTCTGTGATTTGGGTGCTGCAGTATTTAGTGAAGTGCTGTATGTAGTATTTCATACAATTATACAATTATATTTCTAGCTGCAATGTTCTGCAATTATGACATCCAGACTCCCAAATAGTAAAAAAGTGACTAAATGCTCCTCTGGGTCATATACCCAGACATGTCCACCAAGTATATTTTCATACAGTAGGTGTGATGTAGACATGGAAGTTTTGTTTCATTCTGAATTGAAATTAAGATCAATTTCTTTAAATTTGAACATTTGGATCCAAAGAGGAACAAATCAGAAATAAAATTTAATTTTTTTGGCTTTTGTGGGTTTTTTTGGCATGTCTAATGGTATGGATAAAGACCAGTCCAAACTAAGATGGCCGTAGGGACTAAGATGACCTGTATGAAATAACTTGACCAGTATGGACTAAAATAACCAATATAGAAAAATAAGAAGACCAGTAGAGACTAAAATGACCAGTACAGACTAAGGCAACCAGTACCGACTAAGATGACAGTACGGACTAAGGGCCCAGTCACACCATATCCAGTGTGTTCTGGCGCAGTTTGAACTCAGAAAGCACTGGATCGCATACATCAAGCCAAGCCGGGTTCTGTGGCATGGGGGTGCCATTCATGTCAATGGCACCGCAGACACCCCCCACCCACAGTGTGATCGCATGCACCAGAATGCCTTGTACTGGAATGCTCTGCGTTCTGGTGCACTGCGATTGGAAAAAATAGCGCATGCAGTCTTTTTTCGGATTGCACTGGATATGGTGTGACAGAAATGACCAGTATGGACTAAAATGACCAGTACGGACTAAGATGACCAGTACGGACTAAGTTGACCAGTACGGACTAAGAGGGCCAGTATGGACTAAGAGGGCCAGTATGGACTAAGAGGGTCAGTATAGACTAAGAGGGCCAGTATTGATAAAGATGACCAGTATGGACAAAGATGACTAGGGATTCACCGATACTGATGCTAGTATTGGTATCAGTGCCGATACAGAGTATTTGGGGGAGTACTCGTACTCCCCCAAATGCTCCGATTCTTACCTCCGATTCTGGAACTTCCGCTCAGAGGGAGTTCTCCCTCTGGCTGAGGGAGCATGGAGCCAGCTTCCTTTCCAATCAGGAAGATGGGAAGCGGGTCATGACATACCTGATTGGCTAGGAAGCCTGCTTCCTAATCAGGAAGCCAGATGGCACCTCGTGACCCGCCGCACAGCTTCCTGATTGTGTGCATGATGGAACATCCCATAGATATGCATCAATGATTAACAGGTTGCACAGTGCAGAGTAATATATGTTTATGAATTGTTGTTTGGAAAAGCAGATGCCCGATGTTTCAATGAGATATTCATATAACAATAATGCAGTTTTCTATGCAATGCACATACAGGGAGAACATTGCATTATGGGCCAGCAGAGAAGCTTTCGCAGGAGGAAGACCTCATCGTGGTGTATTAAGGGAAGAAGTTTCACATCTGCGCTGACTTCAAAAATCTGCCAGTGTGAAAGCACAGACTTTGTGTGGTATGTTATCAGACTTAATTCACTGAAAATCCAGAAGTCGGACATTCCCTGTGCAGAATTGCTGCATCATTATCACATGATCTGTCAATCACATGACAGTGTGTTCTAGAAAATGAGTAATAAAATGATGTTATCTATCATTATCTATCAATGATGTTACCTATCATTTTAAGTGAACACAAGGGAGGTGCGGCCCACACCCCGGTGATACCATTGAAGGGGTGACATCGAAATGATTGACAGTCATTTTGTTGTCACCCCCTATAAAAAGTCTGACACTCGGTCATGGACCGAGAGCCCGGCAGTGTCAGGAGAGAGGAGGGGACCCGACGGCATACCTCACTCTTGCTGTGCTGGCGTCCATCAACAAGATGGCCGCCGGCAGGCGTCAATTAGATGTCCTTACGCATGTGCGATGACGTCACTGCGGGGTGTCACCCGGTCTTTGCTCCGGGTGACACCCGGCCTCGGGACGCCCCTGAGTGAACACCTCCTTAATTTAAAATATTTAAAAGCTAAACCTCTAAAAAGATTAGGTATACCTTAAAACTTAACTCTGGCCTTACCTTCGGTCTTGCACAGCTGTACCAGCTCCTCTCCTGCACTTAAATTGCTCACTCTGATTTTACTGCACACTGGGAGCTTCTCACAATGTGCATTAGAAGCTGCAGCAAGTCAGATAGAGCCTGCCACATATCCTGGCTGGAGGACATCCAGCACCATCTTGCTCTTTTCTGGCCCACACCTTTCATACATTGGATTTCAGTTCTTTCTATCATGGCGGCTCAACATAACATGTAGATGTTAGCTAGGACAGTCTTAATGCAAATGCAGCCTTGCTAGATACACCCTTCCCTCCAGACTGACATCCATGCACCAAGGCGTTTTGATATTTGCATAACTCATCCTAAGAGCCAGCCCATTGCCCGCATCAGGACTGAGGGCCCTTGAGAGGAGTACTGAGGTTGATGTTCTCAGGAAGCTATGTACAGCACCTTTCCAGCACCTCTCACCAGGTATGATCTGCCGGCATTGCATAAAGAAGCATAGAGACCCAGAGGGGTGTATTATAAGGCATGTAAAGAAAACAGAAACACTTTATATAAAAATTGCATTAGCATGTTAATGAGGGATGAACCAGGGAAGGCAAAATATAAGTAGATTAAACTTCAGCTTTAATGAAGCAAGTGGTATTATCATATGTATTCATAATGTGTGTTATTCCACTTTTAGCATACAGTATGAGATGGCACAGCTTGATGAATCTGGCCCTCCATGTCTTTGGATTTAAAGATTTTTGATACGTGACTACATACAGTATGCTTCTTATGATTGTCAGGTATCAATCTTTTCCACTGCAGGCAGTTCAAACAGGTGCCTGCGGGCTGTCTGAAGAATCCTAAACACACAGCAAGCAAAACTGACACATCAAAAACACAATAAGATAGTTCAGCAAGGTTCAAAGACAAGAAACAGCAACAACAAAATCAAATTAAGAATTTGTAGCTAGTATTTTTTATGTCACATCAGTTTGTCTTATCTCTAAATACCTCAATGTTGTATTTATCATTATAGTTTTATTTGAGACGTCATTGGTATTTCTCTGATGAAGTACATATTTAATACATAATGTTTTTGTCTTTCAGCGATTATGGATTTGAACATGAGTATAGTCATAAAGAATCCAGCCGATGTTTTGCTGATTTTTGGTTTAACCCGGAATCTCCTCCCGATGACTGTACACTGGCACAGACCTACACAAGCACCACTGGGTGAGTCTTCTGATCCAAGGACGATCTATAACAATCAGTGTAAAGTTTCGGAATTTCTATTGTTCAGTGACCAGACAATAGTAAGAACCATTTCTGGTCTGAGGGCAGCCATAGCCTTGGCAGTCAGAAGATCAGGTTGGTGAAGGATCTTATATAGGGTGACCAAAAGCAACCTGATACCAACCCTAATACAGCGACCCAATGCAATGCCTGGGTGAGGATTGGGGTGTTTAGAGCTAAGGAAAGTATTACGGGGAACTTTACACTCAAAAATCTAATTCTACCAATGCATCCGTCTATGTATGATGATTAATAATAACATAGACATGTCAGCAGTAAAATGCTGTGATTGGGAAATACTTACACTTACAGAAAATTCACTTCCTGCTTTGAAAGTGCAAAATGACTTCAGTGTGCCAAAGCAATGCACCCTGGGATTGCCTTGTCATCAGCAGAGCATTGCTGGGAAATCTCATCTGTAATCTCATGAGATCTCAGGGAAAGGCATTTTACTCCCCTGAGATGATGTGCATGGTCACATATCCTAGTCACATGTCTAGTCACATGTGCCAGAAATCCAGGAAGTAAAAAGAGAGCTAGTAATCAGCCCTTAGTAAACATGGCCACTGCCAGAAGACTGGGGAAGAAAAGAGAAATAAGGCATGCAAAGAATACAAAGCCGGCAATTATCTAGAAGTATGGGTTTGTAGATTGTCAATACTAAACATTTACAAAGGTGAGTTTTAAAGATGTGGGTAAAGGTCAGCTTTAAATATATATTTGCATGTTTTGTCCATCAGCAAGTCCTACAGGAAGCATTTTCCCAAAATCATGATTCTTGGGGAGACTCTTGTCTGTAAACTTGCAGGATAATTTTGGTTGAAAATTTAGGTGTAAGCACCGCAGCTAGCTTGGCACCAAGACAATAAAATCAATCATCTAGAAAAACATTTTTGGACAGTGGTAATTGCCTGCAGAAACCATCTGCACCTTTATCGAATTATCTTCAGTAAGGGCGATGTCCATTGATCTGCATTTATCTGCATACCACCACACATGTATAGTGTAAACAGGAAAAAAAATTGTTATCTAACAATTGTTTTCTATGTGCCCCGCTCACACCATACATGTGGGTTTGTGCGTGCAAAAATTTCAGCTCAACAGACATGGTGCAAAAAAGCCCTAAAAAGGAGAGGGGAGTAAGCGGAAGTTCCCTTGGGTACAAAGCTTGGCAAAGTTATTTATAAATAGGATAAAGGTGGGGGGGGTTTCCATTTTGTGCATCTTTTTTACTGTGACGCAAAAAAAATGTTAAATGATAACGAAAAAAGGTTTAAACGCTGATAGTTAAAAAAAGAATATACTTCAAGGAGCAGAAAAATAATAGCTTAGTAAAGAAGCAGAGAAAGAGTTAAGTGGGATATGCACAGTTCTTTTTTTTTTGTTCAGCAGATTCCTGCTGTTTGCATTAATTGGCTGCTAGCTCCGTTTTACCGAGAATTCTCCAACCAGCTCCTTTGATCAGATGATCGAGGGATGCCAGCAGAGGCGTAACTAGTGACCTCAGGGCCCAGATGCAAGAATCCATGAAGGCCCCCCTCCCCCAAAAATAAAATTAGATACATTTATTTAAAAAAAAAAAATTTTAGACCAAAAAAAACCCACACTCTCCTCTTCCATGTCTCCAGCTCCCCATTATCTCCCCCTTCATATCCCCAGCTTTCCGCTCCCGGATCCCACACTCTCCTCTTCCATGTCTCCAGCTTCCCCTCATCTCCCCCTTCAAGTCCCCAGCTTTCCGCTTCTGGACCCCATACTCTCCTCTTCCATGTCCCCTTCATATTCCCAGCTCCCTATATCTCCCCCTTCGTGTCCGCAGCAGACCTCTCTTACCGATGCAGCTCTCTATTCGGCAGCGTTCTGTTTGATGAGAGGCCGGGATAACCCGCTTCCCATTCATTGGCTGCTGCACCAGCTGGATCATACTTCACGCTGCGCCCCTCACCTTGTTCTGGGCGCAGCGTGAAGCACGTAGGGCCCAGGACAGGAGGAAGAGGTCCCGGTACTGACATTAGCGGTTACCGGAATAATTAATATCCTGGTGATCAGCGGTTACCAGGGGCCCCTTCCTCCTGTCCTAGGCCCCCTCCGAGTTGCGGAACTCCAGGGCCCGGTCGCATCTGCGACCCTGGTAGTTCCGCCACTGGATGCCAGGCTGAAGGCTGTTGAATTATGAATGCTGTATGAATTTTGGCAGGTTTATCAGGATCTGGCCAAAATTCAAACCATGTGTACACGACTTTAATGAAGACTGATTTTAATTAATCTTGTACCGGTAGTGTTGCTAGGGTTGCCACCTTTTCTTTAAGTGAAACCCAAACACTTTAGCACTGCACAGCAATTCTTTTTAGAATATACAGGAGAGAGTGTGGAGAGATAACCAGGAGAGAGAGCAAGGAGAGAGTGAGGAGAGACAGCCAGGATAGAGTTAGGAGAGGCTGCCAGGGGAGAGAGCGAGGAGAGACAGCCAGGAGAGAACGTAAGAAGAGACATCCAGGAAAGAGAGCTAGGAGAGACAGCCAGGAGAGAGAGCCAGAGGAGAGACAGCCAGGATAGAGTTAGGAGAGGCAGCTAGGAGAGTGTGCCCTTCAAGACTTATCTGCACCCTGTGAATCAGACACCTCCTTGCTCCACGAGTTCCAGTGCCCCTCTATGTCCTATGCCTCTTCCATGCACTCAGGCCCCATTCACACCAGGGCGGTTCGGCCACGCGGATTTGGGCGCGCGGATCCGCCGACATGAACGCTCCCATACATCGCTATGGGGAACGTTCATGCCACTGTGCGGCTCCGCGTGATCCAAACCGCCTCCCGCCCGAATTGCTCCCTGACCTTTTTTTGTTACGCTGATCTGCACGATTTAGATACTGCTGGAAATGGTACTGCACTGTTCAGCGCAGTTTTGGGCATCTTGTATTGCGTTTCAGTGCTGAAACGCAATTAAAACACCCAAAACAGTCCTTTTAAAATCCACATGGAAACCACGCTGATCTGCAACCGCCCTGGTGTGAATGGTGCCTCAAGTTGGAACACCAGGACCCTGCTGGGGGCAACCCGGACACAGCACATACAGGGCTCAAAACCAGGACTGTCTGGGTGAATCTTCGACAGGTGGCAACCCTAAGTGTTGCTTTAAATGACACCCTTTGATCTGTGCATGGTAGCAAATAACAATTATGTTGTTTAGTTGTATTTCTCAGAGAAGCTTCTGAACACTCGTCCGGACACTGTCCTGAATCATTGTTGTACACAGCTGTGATGCATCCAGAGGAGTGATGATGGGGAAAGAGGGACAGTGTGTACAGCATACACCCAAAGTACTTCACTGAATTTTTTAGGGCATATGCCGTACACCCCAATTCCTCAAATGGTTAAAATATAAGTAAAGCCAATTTGTTTTGTTAACAATTTGGATTGAGTAGGGATTTTTTGCTATCTATGTCCAATTGGGGAGGTTCAACTTACTTACTGATCTATAGACACAATAGGAAGTGAGAGGAAATCTGTCCAAAGTGAGGGGCATTCCCTCTAAGACAGTTGTCAAGGCAGCAAGCATCCCGATTGGAAGATTATCCTTCCATTAATTTTTCATTGGCAATTACAAATGTTGAGTTTCCCACCACTTTCAGCCCCAGTGACAATGGTCACCAGGACAAATAGAGAGAGTGAATCTCCTCAGCAGGGACACCAACAGCTATAAAAACCTGAAAGGGTTGCTTACCCGTCTCTTCATCCAAAGTGAAAAAGAGAAGTTTTGGTTTTAAATGCACTTTGAGGCCAGCTGTATTTTGTCATATCTGACAAATGATCTAAATCTTGGCCATTCTGACTCTTTCTTTTATTATATTGATTGATCTTTTGCTAAATAGTTGTTATAAAAGCCTACAAATCCGTGCAAAGAACACTTTAGTAAGTGGTTGTTCTAGGGTCCATTTACGAAAGTACAGAAGGTACGAATGTATCCGGCTAGAACTCATTATTTATTTACAAGTGCTAACATTACATTCTGTAAGTATCATTTGTTTCCTTTATATACCCTGCTTCTGTTCAGTTTTCTGTGGTTTGAGCCTCTAGAAAACTTATTAGTCTTACTGAATAAGAAAATATATTGCTTTGTATAACAAGATCCCAAGAGCAGAGCACATTTTTTTTAACAAAGTCATTTTATTGATTTTGTGGATACAGAGAAGTTTTCATAACCATGAGAACTGGAAAGAACAAATGCGAGACAGTTACAGACATTACCCATACTGTCAATGCCTACATGTTGGTTTAGGTTGGCTTCACACTTGTGCAGTAAAATTGGCTTTTTACTACTAGTTACTGCAAGTCTTGTTAAGTATGTTTAGCAGTACCATGTGTATTGTGTTGACTGCCATTCTTGGTAATTTAGTTTGACCAAATCAAATGCCTTTGTGTCAACTTATGAGACCGATATTCTAGTTTTGACTCATTCGTTGGAAACCCGAATGTTAGGAGGCAGCGAATGTTCAGGGCAGAGGATGTTCTGAGCCAGACTGATCTGTGTTAATAGAGCAAATTATTACTTTGCTCGAATGTAGTGCTGAAATGTTGTCTAGTTTTTTTACACCATTTTGTAGTGATCATTTTGCACAAGTAATAATTGGACTTTCTGAATAGTTCAGGGGAATCCAGGCATCTCAAGCACAACATTAAATTGGGATAGCTATTATTTTTTGGAATTGTGGAAGTCAACTGGCCTACATTGCTTATATGGGCTTTCCAATTGGAAATAGAGTAGATGCCCAGCTTTGTTTCATGGAGTTTTATTTGGCCATCTTACTATCCTTTTTGCTGTCTCAAAAAAGTATGGTGGCTCTCATGCTAATTCTTTGGTTTTTATAGCTCTCCAAATTTCTGACGCGGAACAAATGTGGACATAAGGAATCCTTACACTTTGCTGACACTGTGTCTGAATCT